AGAGGCAGAAACAACCGTGGCCGTGGCAATTGGAGAGGACGTGCTGGTTCTTATATATGGTGGTGGAAACAGGTCAAAGTCAGAATTAGGAAAAAGGGTATTATCGCAATTCATATGACAACCTAATGGGCAGCTTGGAGGTCAATTTGATACATGTAACAGAAGTCAGCTTTGCAGCTCTCTGAATCATTCAGCTACTTCATCCCATCAACGGTACAATCACTCTTTGCCTCCTAACTCACACCATATCGCACCCGATTTATCAACTCTCAGTCAAGCTGAACCTTACCCAGGACATGATAACCTAACTGTTGGCAGTGATAAGGGAATAAATATTGAAAATATTAGTACTGTTCAAAGATTTGTAAAAGAAAATAACATTGTTTTTTTATTTTGGCCATACGATTGTTACGTCAAGGATGAGGAACCAAGAAAACCCTCCTGTCCGAACGAACAATGGCCCGTGAGGGACTCTCCTACAAAGCCCATTAAAGTTAACGAAGTCGGTCTTGGCATCTTAAAAAAATATATATATATATTAAAAGAATTAAGTCGAGCTAATAAATCTCCTATCATTAAGGACCGACATCAGTCTTGACATCTTACTTAAAAAAATTGAAAAAAAAACTGAAATGAATTAACTAAGATGAACATGGGCCAGCTTTCCTCTACGTTTTGAATTTTAACACTTTATATTACTATATCGTTTCTCAACATGTCATTCGTATCATAACTGAAATAGATTCGATCGATACTAAATGAGACTTTCAGTTGTAGGACCTAATATTAATTTAATATAATTCTATAATAATAAACAATTTAGGAGATATTTTCATTTGTGTTCCATTTTTAAACCTTTAGTTATCAGGTCATTATTGAAAGCATGTCCGAACTTAAATAGATCAAACAATAAATTGACTACATTCCTAATTTTAGGAGTCTCGTTAATTTAATACGATTCCACGATAAAAAATAATAAATTCATTCTTTTGGACATAGACAAATAAACTTGAAAATAGATTTAAAAATTGTTTTGGCAAACATAATTTTTAGAAGATATTTTTAAGATTAGACTAAATCCAAGAATTTTCTTGGATATGACGTTTTTGGGTGGTTTTTATTTTTTTTAAATATAACCAACTCCTTATTTAAAATCTCTAAATCTAATGCTTTTCTTAGGTTTTTTAGTTTTCTTCAAGATGGCAACTCTAAAACCTTCTTAATTCTTTTTTCTTGGCAAAAAAATTAAGAGTCTCATATGTTGAATAATAACAATAGTAATAGTAGTATTTAAAAAATTGGTACCACCACCATAAGAGGTGGTAGTGAAAAAATAATGGTAAAAGTGAAAGAGTGGTGATAAAATAACAATAATAATAATAATAATAATAATAATAATTTTTTTCACTACTGCCATTGGTGGAGAAGGAAGAGGAGGTGGTGGTGGTAGTAATAGTAGTGGTAATAATAATAATAATTATTATTATAATAATAATATATTTTAAAAATTAATATCACTATCATAGGAGGTGGCATTAAAAGAAGAGTGGCGGCGATTGTAATTATATAATAAAAATGATGGTAATGGCGAGAGGATAAGGTTGGTAGAATAATAATAATAATAATTTAAAAAAAAATTCACCATGGTCAATGGTGTTACGTATAGTTGATGGTAAAAATAGTTGATACATAAAAAATAAAAATAATATATCACTATTTTTAAATTAGAAAAATCATTCTCGATCTCTATTTTTATTCTCATCTCTCTTATAAGAATGAAGTTATGTTTAATTTTCATTCTCATTTTCACTATTTATTTTCATTTTTACTCTATTTTTTTAAACAAACATTTATAAAAGGAGAATAAAATTTATCATCATTCCATTCCTTATTATCAAACAATACTTAAATGATTTACTTCAGCATTTCATTTCCTCCTAACCAGACACGAACGTAAGGACTAATGTAAGTTATTTCTCCTTTACATAATCATTCTTTTTTGTGCTTTGAATTTTTCCATCATTTCATCCAAATTTGGTATGTCTCCTTATTGAACTAGGTACAAAAAAAGGCCGCTAAAAAATGATAAATTAGTTCTTTTAGTTTCAAGAAACGAATAATTAATTATTTTTATGTAATTATTTATATTGTTATCAATTTTAATTGCTATTAATTTAACATTATTTGATTAAAAAAAATGTCTTTTTTACTTATCAATCTTTACATAATATTTATTTTAATTTATTTTAAAAAATTAGGAAAGAACATAAAAAAAACTAAATAATTAGTCTTAAAACTAATGAGGACTAATTATTTGTTTCTCAAAGTAGAGGGATTAATTTATAATTTCCTCATTAGCCTATGTATAGCAAAGTTAAACACTGTTACAACCCAATTTTGACCTCCAAGTATATATTCCATTTACAAACTTTTGAACAAATTAAATTTTTAAGAAAACATGTATTTCTAATGACAAAATAAAAATTTTCCCAAAATATTCATTTCTAATTTTTTTTTCTTTAGAATTAAAACCAGAGATTTGTTAAAAGGAAATTAACTAGGCAAAACACAAGCATGTCCCATAGAAGAAAAAAACAAGACAACTTAGGTGGTTTGGTATTATTTGCGATTCTAGCTTTTATATATATATAGATATAGTGATAATATTTAGAAACCACTTTATATGAATTTGAAAAACTTTACAACCTATTATCGGTTTTATATTTTTTTCTTAAAATGGAAATTTTTAAAAAATAACAATTACGAGAGGATGTATATATTAACTTTACAACTTTGATGAGCGCGAACTTCTACCTGCATAATAACATAAGATGCATGCTTCTTCCTAATCTTCACCTTCAATTTATCAAGTGCTCCTATTTATTAACAAAAACAACTAAAATAATGAGGTTTTACTATTAATTTCGCATTCATTCCCGCGTGAATAACTATTAACTTTGTGTGGTTTTTTTTTTCTAATTTTGAACAGTAGCATTTTCACTATTTATTTGGCTATTTTTGGGCATTCATATGTAAATTTTACATTTTGTTTTATTTTGACTCCTGATGTTTTCAAAAAATATTTTTTGTCCTTGGACCAGGCTTGCTTTTTTTTTTTTTTTTAATATATAGCTTTTTTTCATGCATTTTTTTATTGAATTAGCGTAAAAATTACGAAAAACCAGTTGTTGTTTTTTCACAATTTTCATGAACATATATAACGGACTATATTACTCTTATTGTTTAAAATCGATCTCTTTAATTTGTCATTTTTTATGAAAATTTTCTTCAAATTAGTTTTTTTTATTCTTTTTTTTTTATGTAATTTTTATACTCGTGTATGGGTTTTTAAATAAACTAGATTTTTACATAATCTTTTTAAAAAATAATTAATTAATTAAAAATAAAATTAATGTGTTTTATATGCTTATTCTTTATATAATTAAAATTTATCGAAATTGATTTTGTGTTTTTTTTACAACATATTAACTTCAATATATTCCTTACAAGTTAATTTTTTTAAAATAAATTTTTTTTATTTATGTTGCACACTTTGATCCAATAAGTATGATCATGATGTATAAAAAATAAATTAAGATCATTGATTTTATTGAAAATTAACATACATCTACACATATAATATCAACTATTTGTTATAATTTTTTAAAAAAACTAAAAATTATTAAGATGCTTTCTAAATTTGACATTACATTTTTTATTTAGATTATTATAAGTTTTTATTTAAGAGTGAATGCATAAGAAAGAAGAAATCGTATTTTTTTAACTGCAAAATTTATGAAAAACATAAAAAATAAATTAAATACAAATATTTGATTAAAAATTATGAAATTAATTCTATAATATTAAAAAAATATTAAATCAATGATATATATATATATCATGATTATATTTAGTGGGTCGAGTGTGTGATATTAATTGCAAATTATTTTTTAAAAAAACCTAAGTTATTAGAAATATATTAAAGTTAGTAGCCTATGATAAAAATAACTGCAAAATTAATTTTCATATATTTTAATTGTATAAAAATAAATAAATAAACATGTGAATTCTAGTTTTTTAATTGATTATTTATTGAGAAAAAAACTTATTTAAAAATCCATACATGTAGAAAAATAAATCATATTTATTAGCAAATAAAATTATATAAAAAATTTTAAAAATTTAATTTGATGAGAGTATTCATAAGAGATGTCAAATTGAAGAGATTATTTTAAATAATAAGAATCGTTTATTTTTAATTACAAAATTATGAAGAACATAAAGAAGAATAAATTAAATACAATTTCTTGATTAAAAATTATGAAATTAGATAAAAAAATTTCTTTTATTTTTAACTTTATGAATTTTAGCTGACAAACAACATAATATAGGTTATTTTATTTGTCCTGCAATGTAGCGCAGGGAGCTAAGTAGTTATAACTATGTATGTTTAGGGGTTGCATCCTCCGGCCACTAATTCCCCTCCTAAAAAAAATGTCTTGATTTTTTCATCCTTATTTAAAAAAAAAAAAAAAAAAAAAAAACCCTCTTTGTTGTTGTTTTTGTTTTTTTCCTATGCATCAACCTCTCTAAATTAAAGAAACAAGAGTGTTTGGCATCTAGCAATTCCCTTTTGCTTAGAATTAGTCTATTTTTCAATCTTGAAAAATAAGTTTTCCCTGGTTATTTAAGCTGCCCAGTACTAAAAGCTCTTGTTTTGAACCACTCCTTATGGAACAATTAATTAACTATTAACTAGACAATTTTGTTAAAAAATAATCAAACAAAAGCCAAAATTAACAAAAGTGACCAAAATTAAAATGACCCTCAATCAAAATATCCCTCAATATTATAATAGTACGAGAGAAACCAACCTAAAATTATTTGGAAACCACAATTAATATTAATTGCTTTCCATGTGTGTATAGAAACCCAGACAGATATGACATAATTAATTAAACCAACTACAATATCAGCTGACCAAGATAATCAGTCCAATCTCAACGATTAGCCTTAGCAACTCTCTCGATCTCATCCTTTTTCTTGATGGCATAGCTGTTCATAAACGCACAATACATAACAATTATTACTGAGTGTTTAACAAATTTAATTAAAAACTAGTCTTGGCAATCACAAAACCAATATCCCTTCATTAGTATATATGTTTGTGCATGCATATATACCTGTTAGAAGATCCCTTGGCAGCATTGATCAATTCATCAGCCAAACACTCCGCTATAGTCTTGATGTTCCTGAAAGCACTTTCCCGAGCACCTGTGACAAGAAGATATATTGCTTGGTTCACACGGCGAAGTGGAGACACATCCACAGCTTGCCTCCTCACCACACCTGCCGTGCCGATTCGAGTCGCATCTTCTCTTGGACCACTGCGTTAACAAACACAATTCGACTAGATATACTAAATTTTGTGACCATTTATCTTTCTTGAAAACCAGGAGGGGATCGAATTGGAATTCGAGTTCTATTCCTTGTTACAACAAAATACTAGTCCAAAATTGTTTAATAAAAATGGAACTATGATGCTTCAGGAATAAAGTAATGAAAATCTACGTTAATGCTACAAAATGGTTATCCATAAAAAATGAATCGACGATTTATTGCGCGCAACATTTATCAGATGCAAGAATTCGTTATCGGATCTATATATATATAATTTACCTATTAACAACAGCATCAATAACGACTTGAATGGGGTTTTGGTCAGTGAGAAGGTGAATGATCTCCATAGCATCCCTCACAATCCTGACTGCCATCAACTTCTTGCCATTGTTGCGTCCGTGCATCATCAACGCGTTCACCAGCCTTTCTACAATGGGGCATTGAGCCTTCCTGAACCGCTTCGTCGAGTACCTTCCGGCCGTATGCGGTATATAAGTAGCATGCTTGTCTGGATGAGCACTGATATAATCCATCAATGAAACATCACTAATCTGCCAATTAAAATACAAAAAGAAAGAAACCATTAACATACACACACACATATATATATACACTTGTTGAACAGATTTACAATCGCGTGTGTGTTTTAGAACTTACATGCAAATGTTCGAAGGTCCATTTGTTAAACAGTTTCGAATCGACGATCGGAAGCTCCTTTTTCTTTGCAGCATCAGCCTGATGAGGAGCAGGTTCATCCCATTCCCAGCCATCTGTAGCCATGATAATGGTATGCTAGCGTTGCTGGATGTTACAGAAGAAAATAGGGAAAAGAGGGGGTTGGTGGATGAAAGAGTCGTGATACTATATGGTTTAAATTTATAGGCAAAGATGGCAACAACTAGGGTGCTAACAGGTGAATCAGCATATGATTTAAAAGGCAATATGAGGAGGCTCTGAGATTGCAAGAATGCAATTTCTGGTTAAAAACAATAACTCGTTAAATTGCAATAAAGTTGGCAAACCCAGATAAAGATAATGGTATATAATTAGTGACCTAATCTTAGGGACGTGAAAGGAATTACAAAGAGACAGCTCTGTTCCTCGCTTGCCTGACAGAACAGATCATGGTGGTAATTACTAGCAGGACACCTTTTCTTTTACAAGATATATTTTGTGAAGCTGTATGCATATCCCATCCCTTTTGTCATCGCCTCATCTTTACCCCCTCGAAAAAAAAAATCTAGAAATAGGAAAAAAAATCATAAAAATTTTATAAAAAAATATAAAAACAACCTAAATGCATGTTATTTTCGTTAGAAAATATAAACTCAATATCAACTATTTAATTTTATATAATATCATAATTTCAAAAAGGGCCAACGATTAAGTAAATATCTTGGAACTCAAACCGTTTGACAGATTTCAAAAGATGAATTGCACATGAGGGAGAATGTTAAAGAACACATCTCGTATTGAATAGTTAAATCAAAGATGAATAATATATAAAGTTGTGAAAGAAGTCACATATTATAAGATTTAAATATTTCGAATGAAACTCAATCTTAACTATCTAACTCTATATAGTATTAGAGGTCCAACAGTATAACAAATATTCTAGAGTTCAAACCACTTGAAAGACCTAAAAGATGATTTACAAGTGAAAAAAATATGTTAAAAAATATATATCATGTTAAATAGTTGAATAAAAAAATAATTAATATATAAAATTAAAAAGAAGTTGTCCATGATAAGACTTAAGTTTTTTTTTAATATATAAAACTCAATCTCAATTATCTAATTTTATAATATACTATCTTATTTCAAGATCAGACACACTAACAAAGAGAGTAAGAAAAAACCTTGGCAGTGAGAGAGAGAGAGAGAGAGAAAGAGGAACAGTCAAACAAGTTCAAAGCCAAAGGTCCAACTCTGCTCTGACACACGTCCACCGGCCAAGCGTGATATGCCTCGACCATGAGTCATACTTACAGCTCCTTTTTTTTTTTTTTTGTCAGTTCAATCTCTGTTTTCGGTACTTGTTTTTATTTCAGCCCTTGATTCACTAATCGATAAAGGTAAGTCCCTTATCTCTCAATTCTTAGTTTAATTTCGTTCAAATTGGATATGTTTCGTGATGATTTTATTTGTTTATGATTTATTATTGTTTCTTAAGTGATAAATATAAAATTTTAATGATTTATTAAATTTAAACTCATTGAGTCAGGCTTAATTAAAAATAAGTTAATTTGAAGTCTTTGATTTTATTGACATATTTAAAAAGCTTTAAATTTGTTTTTTGTGATCTTGGTATGTCTAAAATTTGATATGATTGGGATTTAAGGTGGATGGCATTTGGGATTTATAGTTATTTTTACGTTTGCCATTATTATTCTTAAATAAGGGGTTAAAGGTGATTATTAATTAGTATTTTATTTTTATTTTTCATATAAAAAACTTGCAAAGAACTGTTGGTCAATGATATCAAGTTAGCAATACACTAGCCCTTTTTTTTGCAAAATTTCAATACATTAACAAATTTGATATGCCAAGGATCTTGTTGAGGAAAATTGGCTATTTTAACTCATATGTTGTTGGGTTTACATGTACCCTCTTGCATGCTTAATTAGCTTACAACTTGTATTATTATGTGCCTACTTGCCATCATATTGGTATGGGTGTCTAGGTTTAAGATATAAGGCCAGCTTTATTTATTCGGGTCTTTGAAACTCGAAATTGGCAAGTTTGAAAAGTAGGCTCAGAGGCATATTTCCTTTTATTTTTGGCTAAAGTATAAAAATTAGGCCCTTTTGAGTTTTAGTGTCATTTGATCCAAATTAAAGATTTTCAACGATTTTGCACCTCTCGTGTATTAAAGAATATAAGCTAATTATTATAAAGAATAATTATGAATATTGCAATCTGGATGAGTTGGTAAATACATGAAAAAGAAAATAAAATTTGTAAAATTATTTGTGAAATCTCATTAAATTGTCATCAGATTATTAATCCCATCAATCCAATGTCAGATTCAATTTATTTTCATACAAAATTGTATGTGAAAAAAACACTAAAACAAGATTGTAGAACTTAAAATGCACATTTATACAAGCACGATATAAAATGTAAAAATTAAAAATTTTGATGAATGGATATTAATATTAAAAGTCTCATTAATTTAATATTAAATTTAATTAGAATCTTAATACGAATTTAAAACATGAAAAATTATGGCAAGCAATCATATGCTAGGTATGTAAATGCAAAATGTGGGTAACACATGACTCTATCATTAAAAAAAAAGCTAATTTATTCAAAATTAATTATGGAATCTCATTAAGTCAGTGCCAATTCCTAAAAATAGAAAAGTCATCGACTAATGACAGATCCAAATAAAAATCTTCATATGAAATGACAGATGTAAATAATGCAAGGGCAGGATATGAAATTAGTGTAAAACAAGAATGAAAATGAAAATATAAATTTTCTAAATGAGTAATTTAAGCATGCAAGATTTCGACACATGTAACTTATACATAACTAAAACAATGAATTCAAATTGAGATGTTATTAAATTTATTCATGATAAATAAATAAAAAACTATCTATCATGTAAATATAATAAGGCATCTAATTGAGAAAATGCTAAACTAGCCCAAAAAAAGCAACTAAACTTACTCAAATGAGACAACTATGAAAACCCAATTCTATTTCTCCTAATTACCCTTTATTATGTGAAATAATAATATAATTGAAGACAAACTAAATTAGACCACTAAAAAGAAACAAGAAAAACAACTAAGGGACCAAACTGAACTAAAATGGACAAAAATGAAAACGATATTCTTCTTCTAAGTTTCGTCCCTGCCTTTAGCCCTTTCATTGTCCAGTTCTTCCTCTTTATTGCTTCCATAATTAATGTTATGTTCAGAACAGCAATCGCAACCTCACAAAATCATCAAATGGAGAGTGGTATTATTGACCGGATTATCATCAAAATTTGGAGGAAAAAACCAACCATTATCTGTCATATTATTCATCATCAAAAATCTAACCAAAGCTGTCCCCGATTCACTGCTTTTCTCTTTTGTTAAAAAAAAAAGGTCAGCAACTTCAATTATCAAAAATTTAGTTCTCCAACATTTACTCTAAACTTTCACAACTTAAAATCAAAGGCAACTAACTAGGCTAACATCGAGTAAGGAGTAGGAAAAAAAACAACCAAAAGTAAGTAAAACTTCTGGTCCTAATAGCATTCATTATATATATATATATAGAAAAAACTTTTAAAGCGCACACACTAATTATGTTATTATTTTAATTTAAAAATTTGACTATCTTTTTACATTAAAAAAAAAATCAATTTTGATGAACACTCGATTGTAGAAATGAAATTATTTAGTCTTTTAATCTCGAGCTATTGAAATCTTAATTTAAGATTCTTAAATCCTTGTAAGTTTGATATCATAATTAACAATATGATCCATTACCTAGAATAATTGTTTTTGAATAAAACCAAAATCACAACTCTAAAGTTCAAGATGATTAATATAAATCCACTACACTCTTGGCCACCAACTTTTTTTTTACGTTCAAAGTTTATTGCTTTCACCCAATCACTACTATAGACACATATAATATTTAGAAAGTACTAGTTAGATATACGTATTATGCTACGGTCAAACAACCGTTACATACACAGAGTTAACGATTCGTATAGTGTATCTTTGATGATTAATGTAAATCAAATCTATATATTGAGTGAAGTCGTTTGATTTATATATATTTACTAACAGAATATTTAATAATATTATCATATAAATTTGTATCCGAATAATTAGTAGGTTTTTTCAAAACATTATCTAACTTATTTTATTTTAAAAAATTAGAATGTAGAAAAATAAAAAATAAATAATTAGTATTGTGTGTACGGATATATAGTTAATTTCTAATTAACTAATGAAATATATAAATATATAAATATATATATATATAACAAATTCAAAGTATATAGAATAAATAGAAAAATAAACAAAAAAACCCACCTAAATGATATGAAATATATTGAAGTCAATAGATTAAAATAAAAACTAAAACAAATTAGTTATGATAAATTCGAATAAATATATATATAAAAAAGTAGAGTATATAGAATAAATAGAAAAATATAGAAAATCAACCTAAGTTGTATGAAATATATTAAAGTCAATAGATAAAAATAAAAACTACAACAAAATTGGTTCTACTAAAGTCCGAATAAATATATATAAAAAAGCAAATAAAACTTGTGGTTTTTTAATTGATTATTAATTTTTTTAAAAAAATTGAACCAAACTATCTAAAATACACTTTTAGCTCCCCCTCTCTCTCTCTCTCTCTCTCTCTCTCTCTCTCTCTCTATATATATATATATATATATATATATATATTAATAGAATTTATAAATTATAGTAACATATTTTAAAAAATAAAAAACTCATTTAAAAATCATAAAAATAATTTATTGTATAAATTATAATAATATATTTTAAAAAATAAAACACCGGCATTCTAAATTTTTATTCCACAATTTACATATTAAGAAATTATTAACAAATAAAATTATATCAAAAAACTAAATTGATAAGAATTTTAATAAGAAACAAATAATTGACGGAATAAATTTTAAACAATATGAGTAATATAATCGGATATATATGTTCAAACTAAAATTTTAAAAAATATTATATATATTCAATCATTTTCAAACTGTACCTAAAACTAAAAAAAAAATAATGATTTAT